ATTTCTGGGTAAACACATACCATCACCTCTGTAAATTAGTCTACTTGACATTGATTCTCCATCATGTTAACCTTGCATACCTGTGAACGATTTACATATGAGAACGTCCATCCTTTTTTAGGAGTAGTTTTGTTTTTTTATGACAATCTTTCCCATAAATTGTGATAAGACTATTTGGATGAATTGTTAGATTCACCAAAAGTTAAACAAGACTACAATGGAAAAACACACACCACCTACAATTACTGAAAATATATCTTTAAAGTAGTTCCTTTAGAGCTGAAAGTATTCTTTTTAAAAAAGGAAGATTGCATCATTAGTGCTTCTAATGGCATTAAAACTTACTTTTGCATTGGTTCATATATGAACAGAAAAATATTATGGCCAAGACTGAATGTAGAAACAATCCCATTTATCATGGAAGGTACATAATTGGAAATAACAAGCCTACAAATAGTTTTTGTATGTTCTTGTATATCCTGCACTGCCCTTGCATGCCATCACTGTCCCTCGGAAGTCGGAAGTGGGTGCAGGCTGTGTTCCTGACAATAGCAGGGTTGTAGTGGAAACTGTCTTCACCACCTAAGTTATGGGGCCAGATACAGTGAACACCATACAAGCAAGCAGTGGGTCTGCCTGCCCTAAATTATGCCTGTTCATGTGACCCTATCATTATTCAACAGGATCTGTGCCCTTTGCCCTGGATCTCATTTCTACAGGGTTTAGACAAGTGTCAGACCCTTGGAATGCTGCAGAATAGTAACCTTGGTTCCCTGACTTTGCTGGGGGGAAATTTGAGTTTAAATCTAGTGTTGAAATGATCTGGAATGCTTTGTAACTGTGGGAGTCAGGCTCTTCCTGATACAAAAGAAGCCCTAGCCCTCTGTCAGAGATATCTGCCTTAGATTTGGCTCAGGCTTTCTGGTCTTAAGGACAGATGATGCATTTATAAGAACTAAAGACTCTTTGTTGTTTTTGTTGTTGCATTTGATACATGAGGATATTCAGATGATTCCTCTTTAGGTTTAAGTTTCAAGATATCATCTCTAAAGCTTTATCTTTCTAATTGTCAAAATACAACCCCTTCTGTAAACAAAACAAAACAATTCTTGGCAAATGATACTAGAATAAAGATGGTGGCATATTTAGTGCTTGGTGGATGAACAAGTGGAAAGAGGGTATATTTTGGAACCAAGAGGCACCACTCCATGGCTGGTCTTAAGGTCCTTGGTGGGGGGTGGGGGGATGGGTGGGGGGGGGGCGGCGGGAAGCAGTCTTTAATTACATCTGGTACTCATGAATTCCTTTTGGAGTCTTTTTCCAGATCTGTTCCCCCATCAGCCTCCCATCGAGCAACAGAAATTCCAGATGGTTCCCTCCATATGCCAGTGCTCATTCTCTTAAGTAGGATAGATTGGTCATTGACAAAATAGGATAGAGTAGCCTTGGCCAAGTCAAGACAAGGTGAAAAGCAGTGGGCCACAGTTAACTTACAGGTGCTCTACCATTCATATTTTTTTTTAAATATATTTTATTGATTTTTTACAGAGAGGAAGGGAGAGAGATAGATAGTTAGAAACATCGATGAGAGAGAAACATCGATCAGCTGCCTCCTGCACATCTCCCACTGGGGATGTGCCCGCAACCCAGGTACATGCCCTTGACCGGAATTGAACCCGGGACCTTTCAGTCCGCAGGCCGACGCTCTATCCACTGAGCCAAACCAGTTTCGGCTCATTCATATTTTTAAGTGGGTTGTATAAGTAACTTTCGAAGTGATTTTTCTGAAATGCCTTGAGTAATTTCATGGAAAGAATGCTACTTCTAGAGAATGTGGCACCTTGATTCTAACTTTCCACACCTGGCACAAAGAGACATCCTCTAAAACAGTGGTTCTCAACCTTGGCTGCACATTAGAATCACCTGGGAATCTTTTTAAAATCCTGATTTCTGGGCCTCATCCTCCGGAAATTCTGTTTCTTTGTTATGGGGTGAGGCCTCAACATTAGTAACAAAGAAACAGAATTTCCGGAGGATGAGGCCCAGAAATCAGGATTTTAAAAAGATCCCCAGGTGATTCTAATGTGCAGCCTAGGTTGAGAACCACTGCTCTAAAACCTCCATTACAGCTGAGGGTTGGCCAATGTGAATTCGCAGCTGATCTCTCTGGAGAGTGCATTAGGATTCATTATTTTGCTATTTACAATGATAGGTATAACCTGTGTTACAGTGATAAAAGGAGAATTCCTTTATAAAAAAATTTAGGGCATATGTTTATTTTTTATTACTCTAGCAGAATCTTGCTACAAGAAACACATTGATAGACTTGCTAGGATAGGAATGAAGATAGGATCAAACTCCACATAATGAAAAAGTATATTATCATTTCAAGTATATTGTATTCTACTTATTTGTTTATCTTCATTTGATGATGGGAAACATGTTACTCATCTTTGAATTCCCACTACTCAAGAAGATATGGCACACGACGGAAAGAAAGGAGGAAAATGAAAAGGTGAATAGGCAGATTTAGGGAATGGCAAAGGGAAGCTGGCACTGAAGGAAACAAGAGCATTGCCTCTACTCTTCTCTTCATTCTATTATTTCCCTCTGATGGTTATTGGGCTTTACATGTAGTGGGCGTGTGCCCTGGAACATGTGTTCTTTGGTGGTGTTTTTGAGCACTTACTTTATGAAAGGTATTGTTCGAGGTGCTGAGCAAGTAAAAGTGAGACTGGAAGCTATGGTCTCTGTTCTCGTAGCACTTACAATAGTTAGGCTATCTGTGATTTGTGAGAAATTGCCTGTATATTTGGAGTGGGTAAGGCAATTAAATCAAAATATATCCTAAGGGAGTATGTGATAAAGACCAGAGGGAAATTTCAAATTCCATGTAATTGTCATAATTTAACTGAAAAGTATATTCAGAAGAGGGCTAATATCATGCTTCTATGTGTCTACGAGTACTATGTGGATGAGAGAAAACATTTTTTGAAGCAATTTAATTGTTTTCTACAATTAGGCTCAACAGCCAAACATTGATAGACAAGGCCATAGGTTGAAAGACATAAAAGCCATTTGTATAGAACTCAGAGGTGCTTGGATGAAATAATTTATCTTGCTTTTAAAGTCATAGTAAAGTCATGAACCCCAAAATGTATGCTAAACCTGGAACATTCTCTATATTTTTCACTCTTTTTTTTTTGCATATTTTAAAGTATCAGAGATTAAATTGATATATATATACACACACACACATATATATATATATATTTTTTTTCTATCTGTTTAGCCTGATTACTCATTTTGTGTTAGTTGCTAATAAACTCTGGAATTTGAAGGTGTGTAGGGAACTAAACTCAAAAGACTTTGGCAACATTCACTTAACATCTTTATTTTTGATGTCACAAAAAAAACTAGGGGTTTAAAAAATAGATGGTTTCTTCACTTAAGAAAGTGACAGTGGGAGAGAAAGACATAATTACACCAAGACCAACCCAGTGGTAGTTGCCTCCTTACATACAATAATATGTATACAGTTATAATAATGTATTTTAGTGCTCTATTATGGAAATTTACAGGGTTTTCATTGGAGAGTGAAAGAGAGACTCCACGGGGGAGTGGTGAATCCGATGGTGGGATTGGGAATGGCTTCCTAGAAGAGCTAAACCTTAGGTTGATTCTGACAGATGAGTGGGTGGTGCTGATTTTGTTGGATCGTGACCATACCTTGAGAACTACTGTTCTGTCCAACAAGGGAAAAGAGAGAGCACATACAAGATAATTTATGGAACAGGCCTAGAGATACCACACTTCAATTCTGCCTCCATTTTATTGACTACAATTGAGTCACATGGCTTCATCTAACTGCAAAGAAAGCTGGAAAAGATGGTCTGACCCAGGAGAAGGGAAGTGGTTGGTTTACAATCTTACAGATACAGGAAGGTGTGGTTGTCCTACAGCTAGGAAAGTAGTCAGGACTAGAAAAGACAACTCATGAGAGGCTAATCTGGGGGGCAGATCCTTAAGCATAGCAGTGTGCATTGTTTCCTGAAATAAAACATGAGGTTATGTTAAAAAATTTCTTTAAAAGTTACATGTGTCACTGATTATGGTACTTGAAATTTAAGCAGAAATATTTATTTGATATATTTAATTTGTGCCAAATTACTGGTAAGCCTCAGAAAGTAACACAATACTTTGGAATACATAAAATATTTTCTGTTTTAGTAAAAATTCTAGGATTCTTTCTTCTGAAGTTGGAAGGAAACTCTTTGTGAAAGAGAAAATGAAGAATAATGATTTTAAGTGTCCAGTGAGCTCTACAGGCATGCCAAGCTAATAGACAATAGTACAAATAATAAAAATATTCACATGTATTGAACATGTAGCAGACACTTTGCTTACGTGGTGGGAACTGGGCAATGTGCATGGCTAATTAGTATTGTATAAGCAGATCATTTAACCCTCACAAATCCCTATGAATAAAGCAGGTCATTATTATCCCCATTTCAAGGATTAGATAACTGAGGTCAAGAGAGGTAAAGTTGTTGGTTCACATAGCCAATAAGTAGCAGAACTGGGATTCACATCCTAATATTCAGACTTCAGAGGTCAAGGTCATATCTGTGATTCTATCTCTCTGAACTAGAGCCAAAGTTAAGGGACAGGGGGAAAGTGTAGGGCCCTCATCTGTACATTTGCCCTAAAGTAGGCTTGGCCTAGCTCTTTGGGACCTAAGCAATGCCCTGTGGTCATAACACTTGGTTTGTTAACCAATGGCAGAATTTATTAATCATGCCTTCTTTTTTTCCTCCTGCCTCTTTATGAAGGCCTGATGTTTAAAACACTATTTGTTCCTTCAGGTGCTGTACCTGTCCTGGAAGAGGCAGTATCATAAGCAGCTCCCAAATTTCCAGAACTGCAGAGCAAATCACTGGAGAAGAGAAGGCAATTCTTATTTTGGTTACATGTCTGAACAATTTCTTTTCCTCCTGCAGACAGGACTGTCCTTGTGGATACAGACCTTCCATTCCTCAAAGGCCTCTATGTGGTGGGGACTTTAGAGTTCCCTGTGGACAGAAGCAACGTTCTGAGTGTGGCCTGCATGGTCATTGCAGGCGGGGAACTGAAAGTCGGTGAGTAAAGGGCACAAGGATTGGGAGCACAATGGGAATTAAGCCCTGTGAGAAAGGCCTTGGGAAATGATGGCATCATCCAGCCGGTTGCTTAATGGAGTTTGGGGGGGGACGGGACTAAGGCAAGGACCGAGTTTACCAGCAAAGCTTTTCTTTGGCAAGATCTTTACACAGACGGGTAACTTTTATTGGTCATTCTCTCATGTCCACCCACTGACATCAGGATGTGTTTCTGGTCCCATAGTCCTCCTCCAAGCCACAGATCCATTCTCCCTTTAGTTCTTTGTAGGAGAATTTACCAGTAACTCACTTTTTCAGAAGATCTCATAGGATGGATTTGTTATCCTTTGCTCAACAGTAAAATTTCAATTGCTAGCCTAGTGTAGATCCTTGGGAAAACGGACTTGAAACAAAGCTTATGTGCTGATGCTTTACTGGGGCAACTGGCACTGGAGTGGGAGTAAAGGGAAAAGAATGAAGGAGAAAAGAACATCAAACACCAGTTGGCCACAGCTTCTCAAGGAAACATGACTATTTGCTTGGCCGTGCGATATGCCTTAAGAGAAGCGTCTGTGGAACCAGCACATCTCGGAACAACAGGGAAGAAAGCTGGGGAGAAGGCAAATGACTCATCTGGTCCATCCAACAACCAACGAACTCCTGTCTTTCTTGCTATGTTTGTGGCTCCCCATGCAGCCGGTGGAGAGCCCAGACACTCAGTGGGTGCTGGGAAGCTCCTTTAGCTGGGAAGTGAGGCATGCTAATGAGAATGAGGGGCAGGCAGGATGGAATGGATCAGGGGTAGTGTATTAACCAGGATGGATACATTGGCTTCCTTCCAACAAACAAACAAAACACATGAGCTGGTACAGGTAGACTGTATGCTTGGAATTGTTGTAGGCAATAAGAGTACAGAAGTGAAAAGACATGTGCTCTGGCCCCAAAGGAACTACTTTTGAACTTGGTGGGGAATTCTACTTTGCTCTCCAACAGATTAAAAGAGAATTCCCAGAAACAATAATACCTTGCCCCAGAGAAATAAATCTCTGATGGTGAGGAAGTATTTAGATACATTGTTTGGGAATATCCAGATTTTAAAATTTCTGGTGGGAGAGCATTCTAGACCTAACTACCAAACCTTAATTACTCTAAGAGTATTCTTGAAAAATTGTGGTCAAGCCTCTTCTGGTGACAAAAATAAATACATAAATAAATAAATAAATAAATAAATAAAATCAAAACCTTTTGAGAAAGCCTGCTCCCACTTTTTAAAATCCGATTAGAATTATTTTCCTACTATTAAGCCAAATTCTGTCTTCCTCTAATTTCTGTTGGTTCAAGTTCTTTCTTGATTCCCATAAGATGAGTATCAAATTCCCTTCCCTCCGATAGTCCTTTATTCACATTTTCTTGCATCTTCTGTTTTTCAGGTTATACAGTTTCTATTACTTTAACCACGGCTAAATAATAGTTACTCTAATCATTATTATTATTTAGTTATAGTGTTTTAAAATAATTTTTATGTTTTTCAGTCTATTTTACAGTACTGGAAAATACAGAAGAGCAATAGAAAATTATATAAAAGAAATCAAGTATTCACTCATATTCCCAAATATAAAGATAATCACAGTAAACATTTTGTAGTCTTGTCTTGAATTTTTCCTACATGTGCACAAATATATGCACACACACACACACACACACACACACACACACGCACTTTAACAGGTATAGTTTGTTAATATTTTTGATCCTTTGTTATCACTGTGAAAATTTTCCCAACTTGTTCTATTTTTAAGGAATATTTTTAAAATTTGTTGGGGTAACTTTGGTTAATAATATTTTATAAATTTCAGGTGTACACCTTTATAATACAATTTTATAATTCAATTGTATACTCTATCATGTGCTTGCTACCTGGAATCAAATCTCCTGTGTCATCTTGGATTTGACCCCCTTTGCCCTTTTCATCCTCCCAAAGCCCCCTTTCCCTCTGGTAACCACCATTATGTTGTTTATATCTATGAGTCTGGGTTTTTATTTGTTTATTTTGTTTATTCAGTTATTGCTTTTTGTTTTACATCCCAAAATCATATGGTTTTTGTCCTTTTCCATCTGACTTATTTCACTCAGGATTCATCCATGTTGTTGAAAATAGCAATATATTTTGTTGTGTGGCTGAGTAGTATTTCAATATATATGTATCACATCTTCTTTATCCAATCATCCAGTGGAGGACACTTGTGTTGTTTCTATGTCTTTACTATTGTAAATGATGCTCCAGTGAACATAGGAGATTTGATGTTCACGTTTTAAGTGTAAGGAGACTAACTGTGTTATAAGAAAAAGGAATTGAGCTGAAAGACAGATTTATATGTGACCATTCACTTATGTATACACTGGCCAGTCACACAGCAAATTATCAGAAGCCAAATTTCTTCACATAATGTATAAGACCAAGAAGCTTCATGGGCCATCACTATTCTATAAATCCTACAATCCAGACATTCCCATTCCCTACCGTTTCCTGGAGGCATAATACTCATCCACAAATATATGCCTTTTCAGATATATTCCTTTATCTTTAAGCCCCTCCAGTTTGGAAGTGATGATGCTTCTAATTCTGTTTTTGCCAGTTTGTCTCCACTACTTCACTGAGACATCTCTTGAAAGCTAGGCTCACGACTTCTATTTCTGTACATTCAACCTCTTTCATGGCACCAGCCTCATGGTAGGCAGTGAACAAACAGATGATGAATGAAAGAATGGACACACAAGTGAAATAATTTAAGCTCATCTTAAGTGTTTCATCAAACTAATGAGATAACCACTGAACAAAGAATGATATTGAATTTGGCATTTGCGACACAGCTGCAGCCCTCTAAGCAAAGCTTTGATCTTAAACCTCTCTTCTAATGCTAGCATTATTATTATACTCTACTAAAAGTCAATTGATACCTTTTACCAGCACCAGCTGCCTTAGAAGCAGGACCACCAAGAAATATAATTCCACAATGTTGGGACTTAGATCAAAATGCATCAGAGAGTAGACATACTCTGGCAGTGTTTCGTACCAATGTCCACATCTATTAAGTTCACTTACTAACTAGTGTTATTATCTATTTCATGTTGGGATTTCTTTGGGGTGTGGTAGAATTGGACAGATGGGTTGAAAGTCTTCCTTCAGGCATAATACACATAGGATTGAGCAGATGGGTTCCAATAATCAAACTTTAGGCCTGACAAAGCAGGGAGAAAAAGAATACAGCATTGTCTAGTAATGGATAAAAATATAGTCGGGAATGGACAAGTTTAAAAATAAGATTTTATATGTACAAATCAACACTGGACAGTGGCACAGTGACACTTCCCTTGAAAAGTACAGATTTTCAGGCAATAGGTTTTGTTACAATGTTAAATAACTTCAAAAATGAAAAAAAGACTAATCATAGCAATGGAAAGTGTGAGCTTGAAATAAATTTTCTAGTAACAAAACAGGCTCAGTTTTATTTAGTATTTCTATCAGTTACCTGGATGGGGATATTATAAAATATTAAACAAATGAGCAAATGGTATTAACCTGGGAGGAAGAGATTAGAATCCAAAAGGATTCCACAATAAGGGTAAGATAGATGAAATAATAAAATATAGAGATAAGGAAAAAATATTATACTTACAGAACAGAGAACCCAGAAATCGACCCAAGCCATTATACTCAATTTATATTTGACAAAGGAGGCAAGAGCATACATACAATGGAGTCAAGACAGTCTCTTCAATAAATGGCGTTGGGAAAATTGGACAGATACATGCAAAAAAATTAAACTAGACCACCAACTTATACCATACACAAAAATAAATTCAAAATGGATAAAAGACTTAAACGTAAGACAGGAAACCATAAAAATCTTAGAAGAAGCCATAGGGAGCAAAATATCAGACATATCTCATAGCAATATGTCTACTGAAACATCTCCTAGGACAATGGGCATGAAGGAGAAAATAAACAAGCGGGACTACATAAAAATAAAAAGCTTCTGCACAGGAAAACAAACCATCAACAAAATAACAAGAAAGTCAACTGTATGGGAGAACATATTTGCCAATGTGACATCTGCTAAAGGTTTAATCTCCAAAATTTATAGGGAATTCATACAACTTAGCAAAGGAAGATAAATAATCCAATCAAAACATGGGCAAAGAACCTAAATAGACACTTCTTGAAAGTGGACATACAGAAGGACAAGAGACATATGAAAAAAATGCTCAAAGTCACTAATCATCTGAGAGATGTAAATCAAAACAACATTGAGGTACCATCTCACAACTGTCAGAATGGTTATCATCAACAAACAACAAGTGCTGGCAAGGATGTGGAGAAAAAGGAACCCTCATACATTGTTGGTGAGAATGCAGATGGGTACAGCCATTGTGGAAAACAGTATGGAGTTTCCTCAAAAAATTAAAAATGGAACTCCCATTTGACCCAGTGATCCCACTTCTAGGAATATATCCCAAGATCAGAAACAACAATCAGAAAGGATATATGCACCCCTATGTTTATAGCAGCACAATTTACAATAGCTAAGATTTGGAAACAGCCTAAGTGCTCATCAGCAGATGAGTGGATTAAAAAACAGTGGTACATCTACACAATGGAATACTATGCTGCTGTAAAAAGGAAGGCTCTCCTACCATTTGCAACAGCATGGATGGACCTTGAGAGTGTTATGCTAAGAGAAATAAATCAGAGAAAGATAAATATCACATGATCTCACTCATTTGTGGAATAATGAACAACATAAATTGATGAACAAAAACAGATCCAGAGACAGAGAAGCATAGATCAGATGCTCAAACCTCAGAGGGAAGGTAGAGAAGGGTAGGGGTAAGGGGGAGAGATCAACTAAGGGACTTGTATGCATGCATATAAGCATAACCAATGGACACAGACACCAGGAAGGGGGGGGGTGAGGGCATGAGGGGGGGCACTGGGGGGA